CCAAATAAATTAAGAACTTATGTTCCTCAGGACTCCATGAAGTGGAGTAAAAGTGCAAGTCGCAGAGTAAAAACATCTGGTAATGTACAACCCACAAAGCCCTTGTACCTAGAAAATAGACACATAGTAAAAAGGATACTCAAGTGGTCAATAAACAGTTTTTTAAAAGTTGTACAACCCATAAGTAATGAGAAAAATGCAAATTAAAGTCACAGCGTGAGACATCACTAAAATGAAAGTAACTGATAACAGCAAGTGTTTGTAAAGAAGTAGAATAACTAGGACTCTCATACACTGATGGTATGAATGTAAACTGGTACAACCACTTTGGAAAACTGTTTGGTAAGATCTACTGAAAGCTAAATATATACATTTTCTAGGACCCAGCAATTCTTTCTTTTTTCTTAATTTATTTTATTTATTTCTGGCTGTGTTGGGTCTTCGTTGCTGCGCGTGGGCTTTCTCTAGTTGCTGTGAGTGGGGGCTACTCTTCGTTGCAGTGCTTCTCATTGCAGTGGCTTCTCTTGTTGTGGAGCACAGGCTCTAGGCATGTGGGCTTCAGTAGTTGCAGCACACTGGCTCAGCAGTTGTGGCTCGCGGGCTCTAGAGCACAGTCTCAGTAGTTGTGGCACACGGGCTTAGCTGCTCCGCAGCATGTGGGATGTTCCCGGACCAGGGCTTGAACCCATGTCCCCTGCATTGGCAGGTGGATTCTTAACCACTGCGCCACCAGGGAAGCTCTCTATGACCCAGCAATTCTACTCCTAGAAATGCCTACACATATGCACACCCCAAAATACATAAAAGAATGTTCAAAGCATATTTGTAGCAATCAAAACTGGAAATGTGCAAGTGTCTATCAACTGTAGAATGAGTAAACGTATTACGGTAAAGTTATACAGTGGAATAGTACAGAGCAAAGAAAAAGAACAAAATAAAAATACACATAGCAAAAACATGGATGAATCTCACAAATTAAATTTGAGCAAAAGAAGTGAGAATGAAAGAATAAATCCTGTATCACTCCATTTTTATTAAGTTTAAAAGCAAGCAAAATCAATTGATGGTGATAAATATCCCTTGCTACCATTGGAACAGTAACTGGGAAGAGACCTACTGAGTGTTGGTACCATTCCCTTTCTGATCTGGATGGTGGTGAAACAAGTATGTACACTGTGCAGTCATCAAAATGTACACTTAGGATTCGTGCATCCTTCTGTATGTATGCTCTACTTCAATAAAGTACACTTGAAAAAATTAAGAGTAAAAAATCACTGTCATATAAATAGGCTAAAAATGCAAATGAAAAGATTTAGAACAAAATACTTTTTTCTCCAATCACACAGAATTGCAAATTGTTAAGCAGAATTTTCTACTTATACTGGTATCATGTTATACACCTGTTGGCATCATAAAATGCACTTACAAATATCGGGTATCAAAATAAGAAAACATGGTGAGAACAAGAATAGTGGAGATATGTTTTCCCTCAAAGGAAACAGGAGAACATAATGAACTAGATATCAAAGGAACAAAATTGGCCTCATCAAGATCTTCTCATTGTAGCAAACACAGGGAGTGATCGGGACATGAAAATACGGTAAACATAAACAAGGCCTCAGAGAACAGGGGGCAAGTCTTCACTGAAATGAGATACTGAAACGCTCCATCTGATTTTTGTTTAGTGTGTATCAGAATCAGCATTAGTGGGAGCAGTGACACTGCCGGCTTGTTGACAAATACTGGTGCTTACTGGGCTTAGTCCTAGAAGCCCTGCTTCAAATGAGCTCTTATGTGGAAACCTAATATGCAAACAGATAAAGAGTGTAACTGCTCTCCTCTGGATGAAATGCAAAGCCAGGAGACATGGGGGATCTGAGGCCACTTGCCAGCCTTCCCTGCAGCCCATGGGAAGGCCCCAGATGACCCACTGTTTAGCGCAAGCGCAGTGCTCACCCGGTGACCACAGCTGACCATGCCAACCTGGGAGGTTAAAAAAGGAGCCCTTCCTCTCTCACCACTCCATGCCTACTCCTCCCAAAAATGCACACTCAGGAGGGCAACCTTCTGATATACAAAAGGGTCACTCTTGAGTGAAGGATTCACAGGGAGCTGAGGAAGTAATCAGAGCAAAGAGTGCCACTGTGTGTCTCTCAAACAGCTTCATATGGACAGAGAGCCAGGGCACAGATCTGGATTCCCTTATAATACTGTGGGCTATGAGATCAGGAGTGACTAGGTAAGTCCACTTTTCTGCCCAACTCCATTTTTAAAAAAATTTCTTCAACCCCATTACAAGTTTCCTGAAAAACGTACTTATTTGTTAGCTTCTTCTAAAGGTACCTGCTGACAAAACACTCCTAAGGCTGCCACACCTCCCATATGATTGTGTTTACTTGGCAAAAGCCTGTTGTACACAGCACTCACCTCCACTGAATGACTCTACCCGACCTCATGAAAAATGTTAAGTCAGCTATCATTTTGCAATTTGATGGTCATTTGAGTATCTTCTTTGTACTATGAATAGCTCTTTCAGTTTAATCCTAAATGGGGATTAACAGCTCAGAAAAGCCCAGGCTACATTTTATTACACCCACAGGTCGAGGACGCCACTGGCTCCTCATAAACAGATACAGGACATACCCTGTTTGTGTTTTGTGAGACAGGCAGATTCTGGAACAAATTACCTGCAGAAGGCAGGGTATCGAGAGATGGGCTATGCACTCTTCCACCACAGTCACATGTAGCTGAGGACAGAAGCAGAATCGTAGCCCCCCGAAAGCCCCGATGTCTTACGCACTCTCGTATGTCTTCAGAGATGGGACAGGGTTCAACAGCACAGATAGTAAGCAAAATTCCCAGCTACCTGACCAGTGGTTAAACTGCAAGTTAAAATAAAGGGCTTCTCAAAGAACAAAAGAAAGAAGAAGAAGAAAAAAAAGAAAATCCTCCTTTGTTCTCTCACATTATTTCTTTTAGTAATATTATTTTTATAAAGGCCTTTGTTTTCCACATGGCCCGTTTACGTGCAATAGTCCTGGAAGGTAGGTTATTACCCTGATTTTGTAGATAAGGAAAATAAGGCTCAGAAATCGGAAATGACTTGTCCATCAACCAACAGCTAGTGAGAAGCAGAAACAGCTGTCATGCCACGTTCTTTCTACAATTCACAGATGACTCCCATCCCCCACATTCTGCTGCTTTACCCGTTCTTTTCTCCTAATCACACTAACACACACACAGCCCTCCCAGCACTGGCAGAGCCTCTTGCTTCTTTCCTCCGCCAGGCCAGTGGTGTGCTGGTGGCAACATCAGCCCTGCCACTTCATGCCCATGGACGGAAGACTGATCAGAGTCGGGAAAACGCCGGAAATCCGTTCCTCAGCCCCCCATCTCCAATCCAGCTGTCTTCCAGCCCTCCCTCCAGATTTGCTGCAGAAAGGAGGAAGACGAGAGAACGAGCACACCTGTGCTGAACTCACGCAAACTTACAGGTTCCCCTTGTTGTTCACCCCAAGGAAACGTCATCATTAACGTTCTCATCAAACTGACTTCCACTGGGTAAATAAATCAACACCACCATGAGCTAGCTGCTCATTTATTATTTGGAGATTTTAATGGGAACATTTTTATTGGTCTTCCATTGAAAAGTTGTGGCTAGAGGAACTGGGTGATGGGAGAGGCAAAAGCTAAAATTATTTTAGGGATTTTTAAATATCAAATAATCCTCATGAAGTATTAACGGAAAGCATCTGAGCTTCTAGAATACATGAAAGAAAACCAGATAAATATATGTGTTTTTGCCTCCGCCCTGGCTGATCTAGCCTTAAATAACTGTCATGTCAAATGAACGTTGAGGAATGGGTCGGGGAGGGGAAGGCTACCTTACCTATACTTTATGTAGTTATTATCTTCATTTCTGATAAGGAAAATAAAGACCTGAAAGGATAATTAACTTGACTCAGAGACAAAAGTGGCAGAGCTGGGAGGAGCTAAGTCTCTCCAATTCCAGAACCATCCAGAACAGATGGTGCTCTATTACACCATCTGTATTTCCCCCATCTGTACATTCCTCACGACGTACAAGTAAGACAAGACCAAGAAGTCTGAATAAATTAGAGACAAGGAACAAAGACATTTAAAATGGGTGCATTACCCATTTCCCCTGAATGCACAATCTGTGTGCCCCAAAAGGGCTCCAAAATTCTCCACGGCAATGCTTTCTACACCAGGTTCACACGCACAGATAACATACGCTGGACACGGCACAGTCCGAGGGAAATGTGGTGTCTTCTGCCCAATGTATCTTCAGTAACCAGTTTATTTTTAAACAAGAACGTACCACTGCCCCATCACGTCCTGGTTTTCCCTTTCTCCTAATGCTTAAGAGACTTCAGGGTTTTCTGCAGCTTGGCAGCTGAGCCCCATGAAGATGGTGCTGCATCCCCCAAGTAAAGGCGGAGGCAGCACAGCAGACACTGCCAGCCCAGGCAGAGGGGAACGTGTTATTGAGAAGAACAGGGTTCTCCACGTACCGCTCCAAATTACCATCTCGCGCGCTGCCTCTGGACTCAAGCTACTCCATGAGGACAAGGTAAGGACACAAGGTACTGGGAACATGAATCCCTTCTGTTCTTAGGCACTGTATTACCGTCTTCATTCTAACCGTGGAAAGCACTACTGACTGTGAAGGGAATGAAGTGGACGGTCAAATCCTGTCTGCCTCTCACCTTCTACGACCCTGTGACTCAGTCGTGCTCCATCCTCCCTCACCTTACAACTAAAGCAGAGCATCAAAAGTACTAAGCCAGAAACTTAATTTTTCAGGAAGGGAGACTTTTTTTTCAAGAAGTGGAGCCTCAAACACCGAGATATCTTTGTTAAAAGGGATAGGCTAACTTCTTAAAACCATTTCCATACACTTCATTCTTGGGGAAAAAACCCAAACCGCTCACACAGGTCTGCACTTCCTTAGGTGTGCACACACTCACGCCCCTTACCAAAAGTGACTTCTCCTTTGCCAGCTTTGTCAAACAGCTGGAAGGCCACCACGAACAAAGCATCTGGGGCACACAGGACAGATTCAAATGCCACAAATTCTTGAAAGGATATTAATCTGAAACACAAAACAAGCACAAAGCATGAAGTCAGTAGCTTGTGGAAGATAAAAGCATACACAAATATACACTAAGGGAAAAAAATAAAACGTCACTGTCAAAAAATAAAATTCAAACCTAAAAACATGTATAAATACTTAGCATTTCCTTTTACATAGAGTGGACTGAAATAACAACACACAGAATCTAAAAGACACAACAGATTTGAGGATATGGTGACACATTAATTCTAAAAATAAAGCTTAGACACTTTAGATTAATATATGGTTGTTAACAACAAAATAGACCAGCTCAGTCATTCATTAATACCTTCCTACACAATGTAAAAATGGTTCACAAAGATTCATTCATTACTGATATCCACTGACCACATGAGGATTGAACTAAAGGATGATATTGGGGTGGGGGATAGAATACAGATAAACTGGCCACGAAATATGACCCCAAGGCACTTTCAGTCTGGTAAGACAGATAACACTAGTCTAGAATACTATACAGGAAAGACAAATCATAAGACAGGAACCAAGATGATGATAACAGAATTTTGGTAGGAAACCAAAGAAAGCTTTGTGGCAGGGATGGAACGTGAGTTGGGTCTCGAAAAATTAGTGAAATTCAGGTATGCAGTAATGGGCACAGAAAGGGGGTCACCTTAGGCAGGGGAAATGCCTGCAGAAAGGCAGGTGCAAGAAAGCTAGGGAGTGTGCAAGGAAAATGTGAGGAACTAATTTTATCTGGACAGAAAAGTACATAAGAGAACACTGTGAAATGAGATCAGACGTTCAGAGATGCAAGTGTCTGAGCAAGGTCGTGATATGATCACATCTATCCATTAGGAGGTGCAGAACAGGCCACAGATGCTTTGACTTGCAAGGAGTAAATAAATCCCCAAAGGCTGTCTTAGAACTAAGTTCTTTGCCACTATTTTGTATTTTAAATGTACAAATATTTCAGTGATACATTGGGATAGTCCAAGTCTCGAGGATATAGAAGGAGAGAGAAAACAGAAGTGCTTTCCCATGTTTCATAGAACACTTAATTACTTCTAAAATCTTATAGAGAGAACACATTTTTATAGAAAGTAAGTGCTACAACATTAACTTAGCTATTTCCCAGAATGTCACCTGATTATAATAATGCCACAAAGAAAGGAAAACTCTGGTGTGTTCATTACATGGTCTCTATGTCATTCACCATCCAAAAACACATCCTTCCGAACGCAGGGGAACATTCAGGAATGGCACGTATTACAGAAGAACACTTGCCCAAAACATTTTCTCCTCGGCTACACAGTCTGTCTCACTGAGAATCTTGTGTGTGTGAGCAGGAGCAGGGGCAGGTGGGGGTGAAAAGGGAAACACATATGAGTGGAAGGTTCCCGGCTGGCCTCAAGGAGCTGACAGCCTGCTGGGGGAAGGAGTGGTAGTCGTGTGCATGTAACCCCGCCAGAACGTGAGCTGAGTATCAAAAGTAAAAGATAAAGCATCAAGGGGCACAGAGGAGAAGGGATTTATTCTGCCTTAAGGAATAAATAAATAAATAATAAATTGAGGAATTAATCTAAGGAAATTAAGGAATGCTCCACGAATCTGTGGCATTTAAAGAACAAATTTTAAAGCTGAAAAGATCTTAGAGATCATCTCCTTCCACCTCCTCATTTTACTTTTGAGAAAACTATTAGAAGTTATGGCTCATGCACGGTGAAACAATTGGCTTCTGGCATTTTGGCCTGAAAACCAAGTGTCCTGGTTCCTATTTGACTGAGACAGAATTCCAATCGGTATGGGAGGATGGAGAGAAGAGAGAAGGGTAGGGGGAGGACAATCCACACTGAGGAAAGAACTAAGTACAGAGGGGTGTGCTGTATTTAGAGAAGGACAAAGGTGTTACTGACCCTGCATCTAATGGTCCTGCCGAGTAAAAGAGTGGTTGAGCTATCATGCCAGCCACCTGTAAAGGCCTTTAAAGGCCAGTTACAGAATCCTGACCTTTTTTTTTTTGCAGGCAGTGAGAAGTCACTGGAGGTTTTTAGGGTTAATAAATACCAGGTTCATACCTTTATTTCAGAAAAGGAACTGCTGTGGAAGATGAATTTAACAGAGGAAAGATGAGATGTGGGGAGACAGCCTGACAGCTAGAGACAGCAGGGGTCTAAACCAGAGCCAGAACACTAGGATTGGAGAAAGGGGAAAAGTGGAGAAATACAACTGAGGCAGGAATGACAAAACTTGGTAGCAATTGGAGGTCAGAGGCTGAGAGCCAGAAAAGAGTTGCTCCAAGACTTCTAACTCAGATAATTGAGTGGGATGATGACACCACCACCAAAGATAAATAAAAAAGGAAAAAGAAGGGAATTGTGCGAGAGTAAGACCAATTCTAACTGTGTTAAATTGGAGATACCCATGGAACAGTGAAGTATGGTATCCAGCAGGAAACCAAGAGGACTAGTGTGGACCTCAGGAGACAGGTGAATATGGGTTGAACTATGTCCTCCCAAAACCCACGTTGAAGTCCTAACCTCAGAATGCAATCGTTGCAAATGTAATTGGTTAAGATGAGATCCTACTGGAGTAGGGTGGGCACCCAATCCAAAATGACTAGAGTCCTTATGAAAAGGGGAAATCTGGACCCAGACGTGCACACGGGGAGAGCGCCACATGAAGATGACAGCAGAGATCAGGGTGATGCTTCTACAAACGCAGGAATG